CCCCCCCCCCACTCCACCCCTCGGCCCACCGCCGACAGCCTACCAGCCAGACCGCACCAGTATGCTCTCTCTTAGCATTCCATCCGCCATCTTCTCACTTAATAAAATAATTACCCCAGGCCAATTAAGCGTTCCCTCCCCTCTCATCCCTTCGTCTCTACCGCCTCTTCTACCCAACTACTATCTTCGTCGCACGTTCCCGCTCTTCTGTCCCTCGTCAAGAAGGACTCGCGTATACTCGCGCGTTCCCGCTCCTTTGAACAACCTTGCTCCTTGCTTCGTCCAAGTCGCAGGCTATTTCCTACGGCCGTTAGACGATCGTTTACTCGCGATTATTATTTCAAAAAGCCCGCCAAACGGGGCACGATTAAACGAGGGAGGAATTATTCAGACGCGATTACGCGTGCTCCCCACCTCCCCCTCCCCCCTCCACCGCGCACCGAGTTTTCCGATTCGATTCACGTTTCAGTTCAGGTAGAAATGACATTAACCCGCGCGAAAATGTCGCTGCCATTTTTTTCTCGTCGGCAAGGTTAAAAAAGACTACGACCGGTTGTTTCCCCCGAGTACACGGAGCGGGGGGACCCGCGAGGGCGCGCTCGCGTTGTTCCCGCGTTTTGTATACGCGAATCGTTATTTAACGGCTCGCCACTCGCACTTTTTCACCGTGTACAGGAGAGATTTAACGTGCACCGGCGATAATGCATTTTATATTTATGCACCGGTGAAAATTTAGCATGAAACGACGATGCATTGCTCGTCAGCACGGAAAATCATTTATTGATTTCCAATAACGGTGTTTTATCTTTCGTATAAATATAATGGCCCCGGTAACGTACCTGATGAATCCGGCACGCCCTATTTTTCATGCTCTGCCAGCAATTGTTTCCAGCTTTCTGTGTTCCACGATCGTTGACTAATTGCATTAGGATGATGTAAGAAGCACTCTTATTTTTCGAGGGTTTCCCAGTTCTTACGTTGATCATTGATCGTACGATTCAATGTATGTTATCTATTACATCTTGTTTGATACTTTTGTAACGGTACTTATAATTACGCTATCGTATATTCATTAATTTGAAACGCAAAAATTTGAAACCGACACGAGACGGAATGTTAACGCGATTCAACTAACGGTTACGAATCAAAATCTGTCAGAAACATTTCTGGCGACATCTGGCGATAACCGCTGCAGTGAAACATGCTTCTAACACGAAATGATGGCGCTGCAGTCGACCTGAATCAAAATGTCTGCGATGTCGTTGATAGGTCGTGTTTTCACGAGACAAATTGTTGAAGTTTGTTCGAAAGCCGTGTCGGTGTCGGTTCAACTACAGCCAAGAAGAAGCCAGTGGAATCTTGTGAAAAAGCCGAAACCCGGAGAGAAAGGGAAAAGTTACCGGAGGATTGTTCATTTTAAAGACGAGTACACGGTTGAGCCTTTAAACGTTACGAATTTAGCAGGCAGAGATCCCGTCACGGGTGCGTGTTTCACTCAAATTTCATTAATCTATCTTTGATGTTATTCCATTCTGATAAGATACTTTAGTAATTTGATGAGAAGTTTTTGGAAATATATACTGACGAAATGTACGATAGAACCATCAGTCGATAAAGAATTTCCTACTACAGCGGGAAATTCAATTAGCGTGTAATAAAGCGAATGTTAAATTCTTTCTTGTTAACGTTATTTATGATCAAAACAGGAAAAGTAGTGGCAAAGGGTATTGGTGGAGGGATCAAACACAAATACCATTGGATTCAGTGGATCAGAGATGGGCCAACCGATCTCAACGTACCACCGAAAGAAGACAAAGTCTTAGCAGTATTCAAAGATGGTTGTAGAACCTCATTCGTAGCTTTGGTTGGAAGCGGCAGTGAATTGCGATATATTCTTGCCACAGAAAATATGAAAGTTGGAGACATAATCCGAACACATCGGGGCATTCCTATAAATCACGTTCGAGCTTTTGAAGGAGATGCTTATCCATTGGGAGCATTGCCCAAAGGAACAATCGTCAATTGCGTAGAAAAGTATCCAGGTCAAGGAGGTGCTCTTATTCATGCCGCCGGGACGTTTGGCGTGATAACAAAGAACGATGAGGATCGCGTGATTATTAGAATGCCTAGCAAAAAAGAGTTTAGCTTACACGAAACCTGCATGGCAACTGTAGGTAGGTTATCAAATGTCTTGCATGGTTCAACACCAATCGGTAGTGCACAGAAGAACAGAGAGCTTGGCAATCGACCAAGAAGCGGTCTATGGCAGAGGAAAAGTGGCAAACATGGACGGAAAATAAAGGCTCTACCGCCTGTACGAAAGATTGGCGTAGGTGAAGGGAACGTACCAAAGAGAGAGACACTATCGCTTAATTATCGGCCATTGAATACTGTTGAAACGTAAATTTTATTCAATAAATGTTACTTCATTGTACCGTTTTATTGTCTCCGTTGCCTGTCCTTGACGGCTTTCAATGACTGCGACAAGTCGTAATATTAGTAAATAGAGTTTGGGGATATGTTTGCGTCTGTTTTTTCATTCTAACAGAATCGTGTTTCTGAGTCGTCAACAATTCTATGCGTAGAAATATCACGACTTGAACTTGCGCAAATTCGCGATACATTGTTTCAATTGTACATAGTTCCCTTGACAGCGTTTCAGCTTTGTGACTTATTCAAAGTCCTTTGTTGTAGTACACCGTTCGAAGATTAGGATTTTTCGAGAGCACCTGTTCCCGGACATCCGGTTCCAAATCATCCACCGAAATAGGTACCCGTTGTACGAATAAAGCACAACAGAGAGGAGTAGCAAATGTCAGACACACTCCGCAAATTAGCACTTGTATAGGCACAACAGCCCATCTCGCGTTACGCAATAGTTGTCGTCGATCCATGAAATTCATTACAACGGGCGCCAATACTAGAACAGATGAAATTTTTTAATTTTTTATAATCGAATGACATCGGACGACAAATGAAAACAATCGCGATACTTACTCATGCTCGGCGCAGACATAAGGATACGAGACAGAGTAACCGCGAGGATTGCCTTCTTCGCGGCGTATCTGCTATTGCCGACCTTTCTTCCATCTTCCGTTTGTAATTCGATTCCGTTTTGCAATTCTGACATTCTCATGAAGGGAATGTTTACGCAGTTGGCAGCGGCAACTGCTGCGAACGGTACTAATCGACCAACCAAGGGTGGTGCATTCCGGAAGAGTCGATTCAAGCTGAGGGCTGTCGCCACAGCCCCCCCAGTCGCAATAGCGTAGCTCACTAAAATCGTGTTTTTTGGAATTGGACTGGAACCACTGCGGTTTGTGTAATTGACGATAGCGTTGAAAGACTGATTTACCCATTGCCAGGTGACGACGTGTGCAGTTGTTCTGAAAAATTACAACCGAAAACTATTCTCCTTGATATCGATATGTTTTCCTATTTTGGTTCTACGCTTTCGCTTTGATGTGACGACGCGTGAATGTGATTCGCTGTCACTAGGCGTATAACACGAACGAAAACGGGGTGAAAGGTCGCGGCATTTATCAACGGGTTCAATGTCACCGTACGATAAACTCGTTCACGTTTTCTCATTTCAGTCTCTAATTCACATTTAGATTATCACAGGGATTATCATCAATAGCCAAGTACGTACTTGTAAAACGTCAACATACAACCGGTGATCATCATGTTCATGGGAACCTGGGCACTCATACGTCCGATCAGTAACATTTTCTCGCCTGTGTCCGGATGGTACGCGCTGTCGTACCGGTATTTGCATTTCCATAATTCGTCCTCTGTCACTTTCAATTGTGCCAGACTGTCTCCTTTCCTGCGTTGACATAAACATCATGTACGCACCATTAAGCTAATGACACGTAAACAGCTATTATTAATATACATTTTAATGTAGGATAATCACGTACGATGTCACGTGGATTGTACAACATATTAACTACCTGTACTTTGTGACGATGTCTCGAGCATGTTCGAGTTCCTTGGCGCTGAGGAACAGATTCAAAGGGTTCGTTACCGTGAGGAAGTGCAGCGCCCTACCGTTATACGTGTTCTGATCCCAGTACGGCTTCTCGATGTCGATCCTCCGTTCGTCAGTATATGCAATGACGTTCTTGTTCCACGACATATTGCCAATCTTTTCCGCTAATCTAACTCGTTTCTTCTTCTGCTAGCGACTCTCACCGACTTGTATCCTACTCTGCCACAGTCACACACCCGTCGTACCGGTTTTCTGAGCAACTCTCGTCGAGTATCCTCCGCTCGCTCCTGATGGAAGAGGACAATTCCTCTCGGAGTGGTGACGCTCAGGCGCCAACGATAGCACGTCTCGCGCCAGCCACTGAACGGTTCCACTGTTTGAAACGATATCGTCTCATCGCACTTTTCTCTTCTCCGCTTCTCACCCCTTCGACGTCATTATCGATAACGTGCACGCTTGCGCAACCACCGTCCACGATTTCTCGCTTATTCCCTCCGCCAAGAGATGGTAGGACATTTCTTTTCGATTTCAAATCTGGAATAAATCGAACGAGAGAGATTAGAAGTATTGGTGAAACGGATGCTTCAAGTCGGTTTGGAAGTTTTGGATTTCAATATTTGGGATAAGAGGATTGGTAAGTCTCTAAGAAGAGTAGTGTTATCGAACGGTAGTACTGACAGGCTTCCAACCCTTAGGACTCTTGCTTGTTCAACCCTCCAATAGATGGTGTTTTCTCATTTCCCATTTTCGTAATGTTTCAAGTTTTGAAAGGCGATTGCGAAACGTTCTAAAGTTTGTAACTATTTTGCTTCGTTTGGATATCATTTCCCATTATCTGCATTACTTATAGGCACGATTCCGAATATTTATTATATGCATATCGTCATTGAATAAATTATGCTGTTTATCCAATTGAATAAGGAGTGTTAAATAAGGAATGTTAAAGCGATGCGGCGTATCAAACATTTTTCTCAATGCTTGATTCTCGAGTTTTATTTCATTCATAAAATAAAATGCTGATTGCTGTTTCTGTACAACTGATTATTGACAGCGTATGTTTTTCGGTCTCGGTATTATTTATCGGTTTATTCGTGTTAAATAATAAAGTTATCCTCCGTTACGAAAATCGGGCGTATTACGACAGAGAACTTTCTAAATCCAGTTCCAGATCGATCCAGTTCGAAATAATAACAGTGCGAACTAATGAAAATTCTCATGTATGAAAAGAGTCAATGTAATCTAAATACCACCTTTTTTATAATCAAAATTTTTATAATCAAACTTTATAGTCTTGTTCTTACCAACTGACCGTCGTTTCTTTTATTTTTTGTTCATAAATTATCATTTATGACGCTCACGATTATTGCTCTAATTGCGCGATGCATCACGTGATTTTAATAACGATTGACAGAAGAAATCTGTGTTACATTTCATGTCGCTAATAGTATGATATTACGTTCTTCAAATTCTTTGTATATCTGCGACAACAAAACTAAAGAAAGGCGCTAACAGAGTAAACATTCGTGATTAATAAATTAACGATACGCCTATTTCCAGGAATGTCTTATTTAATTTATTGTAGTGTCAAAAATGCAATTTACCGTTTTAGTCGCACTTCACATTTGAAAAGGAGGTCATTGAATCATCCCGATTACGTTTACATATTTACAGCATCGTATCGACTGTTCTTTTTTTTTTTCTCTCTCGTTTTAACTGGCTTCAAACGTATCGTTTCCCACTGGTCGTTTTTCTGTTCGATCATGGTGAGCTTGTTTCCGTGACCCACTTGTTCGTCGCTATTCGCATGTGCAACTGAAACCGAAAACGAAAGGCACGACGATTAGGCGCACGCGGAAACTTCGTGTCATTACTCGCGATTATGTATTCGTCTTTAAGCCCGTCTGTTAATTCTGTCAATGAAATTCGATGTCGACGAAGCTTGTATCGTTTAGATGTTTTCTCACCTAATTTTATACT